TTATCACCCTCGTCCTGCAAAGAAGCTGCCAAATGATCCACCTCCACAGATGCTTGCCGCTGTGATCTTTCCAGAAAGACGTGTTGGTGAAAACAGACCCGAGGAGGTTTAGTCCATGGCCTCAGAGCTGGAAGAGGCTTCGGTAGAGGGTGGGCTGTCTTTGCTGGGTCTCCAGTGTTTTGGTCACAGAAGTCGGGACAATGTTGGGCCTGAATGTTTCACCTCATGTCAGTAATTCTGCAGCCCAGATGTTTTCAAGGAATGCTGAGCCCCTCTCTGTCCCTCTTGCGGCAGATCTGACACTTCTGAGAATGATTTGTGGCAAGGAAAAAAAAATACATTTCTCTTCCTGCAGAGCAAGTCTAAACCAAATCATGAACTTGGCCATTTGTCTTTGATCATGTAGCTCTCAGCCTTCTACTCCTCTCTCTCTAGGATTTTTCAGCTACTGCTTTAGCTTAAATAATCAGCCTTATTCCACTAAGTGACCCATTTCTCTCGCTGGGTCTGGAGCCAGCCCATACACTGTCTGGATGTCCTGGGGCAGTTCTAGAACCAAACTCCACATCTGTCCCCAGACACCGGCCCCCATTCTCCTGCCGCTAGCTCTGTCTCTGGCACTGCCGAGCCCCGTAGCCCCTGACCTCGCTGCTTCAGGGTGCATCGATGCTGTTTCCACCTGGCAGCACCGCGCTTTCTGCCCGAGGACTTTCTCTGGCAGCCGAGCCTGCTGGGCTCCTTGGGGCAGGCAGGACGTGCTGGGAAGTTGGCATCCACCACGAGCAGCAGCAGCGCTCGATCAGTGTCTGGCAGGAGTGGGCACTTAAAGACCCAGCTCGCTCAGTTCACAAGTGCCACCTGTTTTATACGTGTCCGGCGTTCTCTGTGCGAGGGGGAATTGAGCAGGGCTGTCCACGGTGATCACTGACTTCCTACATTCCCTGAGTCACTCCCCCACTCTCTGCTGACATTTCCTGGGATCATCTCCAAAATAAACCGCGTGCACTTGAATCCTCTCGCAGGTTCAGGAGAACCTACACTAGGGCACTCCCATATGATTCAACCTTCCCCCTGCCCCATGCTTGCTCACTTGAGCCCCTGGAATCTTCCTCAACTGCTCTCTGGCTGGACCACCCAAGCAGGCCCGACTCCCCTGCCTCCTTCCTTGCAGCATCTCCCCTCTGCATCCCGCACTCCCCTTTCGGTTCCGCCCTCGCCACTCACTAACTGGCCTCCCCACTCCAGGCTCTCTGTTCTGGATCTTTCTGCATCAGGGGAGAGCACAGAACATGCATGCTTCAGCCGGAGGGTGACTGCCCTCCCTGTGAGGTCCCCAGGGAGGGCAAGGTGCAGCGGCGGCACTCAGAGATACTGGGTGGGCAGGAGAGGCACCGAAGGCAAACTCGCTGGTTCAGTCCTTCAGAAAATATGTCCTGAAGGATCACTGTGCGCCAGCTCTGTGCTAGGTGCGGGGACAGAGTGAGTGGTGTTCTGAAGCCACCTCAAGTGCTGCCTCCCACCTGCTTGGCTGGCCCATGCCTCCGGCTCCCCAGCAAATGCAGCTCCAGCAATGGCGGACATGGCGCTCACAGCTGCTGTCTGCCCTGCCCAGCCTCCCCCCTCCTATACCCAAATGCCCGCACAAGCGGTGCCAACTGGCGAGGAGAGATCGCCAAGCCAGTTCGTGGGAGGACTGGACTGAGGAATCCCTGGTCACTGCCCGAGGATCTGAGTAACACAGCCCAGAAGTGCAGGAGTCAGTGGCCTGCACTTCTGGGGTGGGGGTGGCGTGTTGCCCAGCGCGAGACAGGAGCCGGAAGGGGGCCTACAGGTCAAGTGCTTGTTATGAGCTGAATTATGTCCCTGCAAAAGATATGTTGAAGTCCCAACCCCCAGAACCTCAGAACGTGCCCTTATTTGGAAGTACGGTTATTGTCGATGTAATTAGTTAAGATGAGGTCACACTGGAATAGGGTGAGCTCCTAATATGATATGACTGGTGTCCTTACAAGAAGAGGAGAAGAGGCCGGGTGCGGTGGCTCACGCCTGTAATCCTAGCACTCTGGGAGGCCGAGGCAGGAGGATGGTTTGAGCTCAGGAGTTCGAGACGAGACTGAGCAAGAGCAAGACCCCGTCTCTACTAAAAATAGAAAGAAATTATCTGGACGACAAAAAATAGAAAAATTAGCCAGGCGTGGTGGTGCACGCCTATAGTCCCAGCTACTCAGGAGGCTGAGGCAAGAGGATCACTTGAGCCCAGGAGTTTGAGGCTGCAGTGAGCCATGATGATACCACTACACTCTAGCCCGGGCGACAGGGCAAGACTCTGTCTCAAAAAAAAAACAAAAAAAAAAAAAAAAAAAAGACGAGATGAGAAGAGACACAGAGACACAGGGAGGGAAGATGGCCATGTGATGACGGAGGCAGAGATTGGAGCGACGCAGCCACAAGCCAAGGAACACCGGGATTGCCAGAAGCCACCCACAGCTGGAAGAGGCAGGAAGGATCCCCTCTTGCAGGTTCACAGGGAGCCAACACCCCGCCAACACCTTGATTTCAGACTCCCAGCCCCTGGAACTATAAGAGAATAGATTTCTGTTGCTCTAAGCCCCAAGGCTTG